AGAGAACAGAGAGTAAGACAGAGATTGCCGTTAAAAACCTCCAGCACTCAGCTCCCATGAGCGAGGCTGGCTGCCTCGCTACTTACAGTCTGTGTTCTTCAGGGACTGCTTCTTCTGTGAGGGCTTGGAAATCACTTTAATCAGCTTGCTGTGGAAAGTGCCGATCTCCTGCCCATTGCTGAAGAAGAGCTTCAAAACCAAGAGAACAGAGAGTAAGACAGAGATTGCCGTTAAAAACCTCCAGCACTCAGCTCCCATGAGCGAGGCTGGCTGCCTCGCTACTTACAGTCTGTGTTCTTCAGGGACTGCTTCTTCTGTGAGGGCTTGGAAATCACTTTAATCAGCTTGCTGTGGAAAGTGCCGATCTCCTGCCCATTGCTGAAGAAGAGCTTCAAAACCAGCCGGAAATGTTTCCTCTTCTCTGTGTCTGAGATGTAGAGTGCTTTGGCACAGCCGAACTCCTGTAAATAACAAGGGGCTATTGTCATAAGCTGGAGACTGTCTGGAGTGTTTGAGAGCATCTTCCCTGAATAAACAGGCAGAAATGGAAGTCCTGGCATAGTCAAGGAACCATGAAGTGATTGGAATAACAGCGGTAACTCACGTGACTGGAGCATTGTCATGGATGGATATAAACTGTTCAGGAAGGACAGGTGGGGGGAGAAAAGGCAGAGGTGTTGCACAGTCTGACTGTTCAGAGCTTCAGTATGAAACTGGAGAAAGGCCTGTTCAGAGTCTTTGGGTTAAGATTAGAGCTGACAGTGACAAGGGTGATGTGGTGGTGGGTGTCTATGTGGCTTCTTTGGACTACTAACAGAAGTTTCTAGATCACAGGCTCTGGTTCTCATGGGGGACTTCAATCACCCTGGCATCTGCTGAGAGAGTAATACAGCAGTACACAGACAATCCAGAAAGTGTTTGCAGAGTGTTGGGGACAACTTCCTAGTGTAAGTGCTGGAAGAACCAACTAGGGTCCATGCTCCTCTTGACCTGCTGCAGTGCGCGGCACAGTTTGGGGAGGAGGTGAGCAGCCCTCAATAGTGAAGGAACAGGTTAAGGAGTATTTAGGAAAGCTGGACATGCACAAGTCCATGGGGGCCCATGCAATGCTTGTGTGGAGGGAGCCGGTTGATATGATTTCAGAGCCATTGGCCATTACCTTTGAAAACTTGTGGTGATCGGGGGAGGTGCCAGGCGACTGGAAAAAGGCAAATGTAGTGCCTATCTTTAAAAAAGGGAAGAAGGAGGTCCTCAATGAATCCATTTTGAAACACTTTGAGGAAAGGAAGGTGATCAGGAACTTGAGCTCACTAAAGGCAAGTCATGCCTGACCAACCTAATTGTCTTCTATGATAACTGTGTATAGGGGAAAGTTATGATATGGTCTCCCACGGTTTTCTTGCCAACAAGTTAAAGAGGCATGACTTGGATGAATGGACTATATGGTGAATAGAAAGCTGGTTAGATTATTGGGCTCAATTGGTAGAGAACATTGGCCTGATGTCTAATTGGCAGCCGGTATCAAGCAGAGTGCCCCAGGGGTCGGACCTGTTACTGTTTTGGTTCAACATCTTCATTAATTATCTGTACGAGGGGAAGGATTGCACCCCTGACAAGCTTGCAGATGACACTAAGCTAAGAGGAGAGGTAGAGACACCTGTGGGTAGGGATAGGGTCCAGAGTGACCTAGACAAATTGGAGGCTTTCAAAAGAAATCTGATGAAGTTCAACAAAGACAAGTACAGAGTCCTGCAGCTGAGACGGAAGAATCCCAAGCATTGTTACAGGCTGGGGACCGACTGGCTAAGCAGCAGTTCGGCAGAAAAAGACCTGGGGATTACAGTGGATGAGAAGCTGGATATGAATCAACAGTGTGCCCTTGTAGCCACAAGAACATAAGAACAGCCATACTGGGTCAGACCAACAGTCCATCTAGCCCAGTATCCTGTCTGCCGACAGTGGCCAATACCAGATGCCCCAGAGGGACGGATCACAACAGGTAATCCTCATGTGCACAACTCTGTACAAACACAGGCCAAATAGACAATCCTTTCCTCCAGAGGCTCATAGGTACTCATGGTGCTTTCCAGACAACAAACAAGACACAGGCCATCCTCCAAGGAGCTTGTCTTTTAGTTTAGATTGAACAAAAGAGACAATAACAAGAAGGCAGGAGCCCCTAGAGGCTGTGACCATGGCCCCACCAGTCCTTTCACCATATCAAATTGTGCTTAATTCACCGGTGTTTTAGGCAAAAGAGCTTTTAAATTAGTGCATGTGTGAAAAGGCTGGGTGGATGGGAATCTGCAGAATTTGGCATGGAACTTTTCACTCTTTCATTCCAAACTAATTTTGTTTCCTGGGACCTTGAGCCTTTTCCTTGAAATGTTGCCGAGCTAACATTTTGGGGTTCTCTTGCCTCCCCAAAATGTCATAGAAAACCAGGAAATCAACTTCATCATGAAAATTGATGCTGAAATGTAAGTGCTGGAAAGTGGAAGTGGCTGTTTTTGAAACTCTCCCATGGGTCTTTGGGATGGTTAATGAAGGCTCCGATCGTGTAAATGCTGAACTTTACAGATGATTGGTCTCGCTTGGTTCAATGTAAATGACCATGACCATATTAGTAGGGTGGCTAAGACTGCAAGCTCTTTGGGACAAAAACTATATTTTCATATGTGATTGCAACGTGCCCGGTCTAAGGAGGCCCTGATCCTGGCTGGAGCCTCTGGGTACTACCAAGCAGTAATACAGAGCTACCGCCTGGCTCTTGTTAGTCACGTGGCTGAACAAACGGCTCTCTAAGCCAGGATGCCTGGGCCTTCCCTAGAAGGGGTGTTTTTAATAATGGTATTGCTCTGAATAGCTTCAGTGTCTACCAATAAGACTTGGATGAATGAATTTGTGGGGATGGGAGACCCACTGGGGGCTGCAGGACCCAGGTGGTTGTTCTTCGCTGTCCTTCCTTATGTGCTTTGGGTTTTCAGAAAGGAAAATGCCCACATTGCACTGTGCTGTGTGTATTAACGAGGATTCTTAAGCGCTGCCCTGCCCTTGTCCGGAAAACAAGACTCCCTTCACCAGGGCCATCACCACCTCGCTTTGTACACCCAAGAAAATGCGCTGCAGGACCCAGCAGCTCCCACCAGGACATGAAAGGGTCCATTCAATGGATCTATAGGTTCATTTAAAGGGGGAAATGATTAGAGATGTTATTTCAGGTGGAGTGAAGTGATGAGGAATGGTGGAGGCTTTATTTACACTGGGGCTAGAGAATTCCAAATGGAAATTAAAGTTCACATGTGATCTACCCAACATAACAGAAGAAATCTCCCTAGGTTTACAGTTTCCCAGTCATCTTGGCGCTTCAGCTGCGCTGATATGCCTTGCTGTAGCATACAAAGGTCCTTTTTGTTATGTTTCTGGCCAACCCCAGATCCCACATTCTTTGGAGCCCCAAGATAATA